CTATGGAAAAAAATAACGGTTATACAGTCAACGCAAAACCAGAACAAATGAGCTTCTATACCGGCTGATATCGACTGAAACCGAACCAAAGCATGAGTGTTGTCGACCCATTCCACCGTAAAGCTTCGACAGTTCTGCTGCTTGAGCAACAAGTACAGTGCTTCGGTTTTTGTCTCAGAAGATATGTTATATGCTTCAAGGATGTGTCCCAGATCTGAAGAAACGTACGCGACTTAGGATCTGATTTACAAAAAGCGAACAACGTTAACTAACCGTCCTCATCAGCTTTCATTTCTGGTCGGTTGTCAATGTCAGCCGTTTCGAACACGACACTGCTCGACGACAAAGAAGAATCCACCTGAAAAGTCTGTTAGAACAAAAATTATGAGAGCTTTTTAGGCAGATGACTTACCTGTCCAGAAGGTACAAAATCCAGCAAATCACCAGGGGGCCTGTCGACCAGTTCTTCCCAAGAGTCGACCGTCGTCTGACCGTTAGCCGCTTGTTGGTGAGAAATATCACAGAATTTACTACCCGTAAAAGTCGAAGCAGTAGCCGTAGTAGTAATGGCAACGATGGACGGCGACGGTTGGCGATAACTGTCGTCACTATCATCACTAATACCATGGTCGTCTTCGTTTAATATCTTTTCAGCCATCTCAATACTCAGCAAATCCAACTGCTTCGTATCATGATTAACGTCCGACGACGGTGTGGGAACGGTGGCAAAGCGCTGGACACCGGTTACCAAAGAACCTGATGGTGAACGCGGGGAACATTCTCCAGCGGGACGCATCCGTCCTACAGTAGGAATAGTCTCATCGCAAAGAGTAAATGCATTGCCCGAAAGCATAATGCTCACGAGCGAGTCGGCAATGCGACTGAGGTTCAGCGACTCCTCATTACTGACCGTTCTGGTCAGGAAAGATGTCGAACCGACCTTCGACGTGACATGAGGTTCTTTGGGCAAATACCGGCTCGCAACTCGCGGCGTCGACGGACCGGAA